ATGTGAAGTAAGGAAACGTCTGGTCTCGCGCAGACCTATCGCACTGTCGATCATCTCGAAAAGCGCTTCTTCAATCTTAAGAAAAAAAGAAAAAAAAAAAATTAACACACGTGCGATTGCCTTCCTATACGTACGTACTTACTTCGTCCATTCTCTTTGACACCTTTCGATACCTATCTGAAACAGATAGTAATTTGCGAGGGAACCCGACCGCTGAAGGATTCAAAAGGAAGATCACAGTAGGATATATTGCAATAAATATATTTTATTGAAGACATAATTATCTTTCTTTTGAGGAAAGAAAAGATCGGTTGCTTTCTTAAAAAAAAAAAAAAAAATACGTATAGTCTAGTCGCGCATGTCAGTGCAAATCTATCTTGTGCTTGTAAAACAGATGCCTCTTCAGGTTGCCCTTGAAGTTCGACTTGTAATTGCAGATGATACAGTGAAAATTTGGTGGTTTGCCGCACGCCATTTTCTGATGTAAACGTAGACTCGATAGCCACGAGAAGAGTCGTCCGCACCATGTGCACGCGTACCTGGCACCTGCAACAGAAGCACTAGTCAGCGAAGAAATCACAGCCGTATGAGATAACCGGAGAATTCCCCTACGATGCAAACGAAGATATTTTTCAGCGGACGTTTTTTTCTGCAGTGTACTTTAAAAATGCAGTCTTACAAATAACAACAAAATGTGGCAAAACATAGTTCTGAAACACTTTCACGTAAGAAATGTGTTAATAATTATTACGAATTTTTTTATACTTCTTTTTATTCAAAATTATTATATTTTTGCGAAATATTAAGAGATCCGTAAGTCTCATAAGAATATTTCTCAGCTGAGAATGATACAATATATCTATGAGATCCATGAATTAATCTATCAGAATTGTTTGTTTTCTTTCTTGATATTCTTGTTTCAGTTGCAAATGTTGGAAAATGTTTATATAGTTTTTTTAGTAAATTTGTCATGATAAAATCGTATGTAAAATGGTTAATAAAATGATTAATAAAAAGATGAAGATGATAAAATAATATTAAAACGTATTTAATGCGCATTTAATGCATCAAATAACTGTTTCACGAATTATCACTGATAAAATTGTGAGAATTTTCATGAAGCACCAATGCAAATAAACGAGTTTTTTTTCATAAATCTATAATAAAAAAACATTTAAGTAAATTTTCAAAGTATTGATAATATATTTTATCAAGACGTATATTTCTTTGTTAGAGAATTAAAGTAAAATCTTTATAATCCCCTAATATGCATTGCATAAATTTGTTAAACCTATTAATGAATTTTTAATTGTGTAGCTTCTTTTATTCTTTAATAATTAGAACAAATTAATTATAATAAACATGTATATTGAAACTGAATTTGTACTTCTTTAAAAATT